TTATTATTATTATTATTATTATTATTATTATTATTATTATTATTATTGTTGTTGTTGTTGTTGTTGTTGTTGTTGTTGTTGTTATTATTATTATCATAAAATGGGGAGTTATGATGAGGTTAGGTTCAACTCTGCAAGTGTGTGTGGGTGTGTAAATGCTGCTAAAGGGTTAACATTTCATTTAGTTTTAGGAATTTTAAAATACCCTGAAAAGTTGTTGCAACTTACTTATAAATTTATTTAGGTAATTTATATTTAACCTTGCTGTGTTTTAAAAATGCATTTAAAAAAGATAAACAAAGTAAACCCAGCTCAAAATTTGAATATTAGTTTATAAAGGCAATTTATAATTAATAGTGCTTTGATTTTTGTTTATGCATTTTTTTTTTTTTTTTTTAAAGCTAAAAGCAATTAAAATCTGTTGAAAATTTATTGGTTAAAAAAAATTCCAAACTCATAACCAATTTTAATTTTACGTGTTAAAATCTAAAAAGTGACTAAAAGTTTTACTCATTGGTAACTTTGTCATGTTGCAGCTTTGCTGTATGGTTTGTTAATTCATCCCAAATCAATAAATGCCACATTTTAAATTTCACAAAACACATATACTTTCAATAAAAATAACCTCAGCTTAAAAGAAAAACATTTTGGCTCATGAAAAGCCCTACAAAGCACGGCAGCTTAATGACTCTGGTCATTTATGTTGAATCTTACAGTATGTTGGGCACACATGTATCACCCCGAACAATTAGAAAACTCTCTAAATGTCCATAAAATCCGCATCACAAATATATTTCACATCACCCAAACAAATAGCAAGCGCGGACTAAGGAGATAAAATAAATCAAAAATTCAATTCCAGTAAAAGCACCACATCTATAAAGTCCAAAATATGGCAGAAAAATAAATGAAAAATAATTCAGTTTAGTATTTTAAAATGCAAAATATCGTATGAGTATTCATAAATAATAATAATAATAATAGCGGTATTTAAACATTAATAAACACACACACTGGTTTAAAATAAGGTCTATAATAAAGTGTGTGCTTTGCGATTGTTACCAATGTAAACACAAAAAATGTTGTTTTTTTTGCTTAAGTAATGAAAATATATTTAAAAACTGTAAATGAAATGTGTTTTTGTGTAAATGACTGCATTCATTAGTGTGCAGAGATATTCTAATTGATGTGGGATGGCAGTGCACCTTGTTGCCATGCCGTTACGAAATTTAGATGAATTAACAGGATTGGGATGAGTCCATTTGAGGGGACAGATGCTCCAGTAAATCACAGCAAGAAGTCAATTAGCTCTCTCTATCAGCCATATGAAGCGCCGTCACTCACATGACCAAACAATCCAAAAATCTCTATCCTGCATGTTTCAAAACTAGTTTAGATGCAAATAACTCAGAATGAGAAAAATATTGTGTTAGTGACGAATAACAAGATGAAAATTATAAACCATAGCCGGTGCGATGAAGTCAAACATATCGCTGTAAAAGTTAAAATTACTAAAAACACAAACAATCATTATCAGCCATTATTAGCTGCTATAATTAGAACAAAAAGTGACTTATGAGGCTATATATGTTATTTCAGTGCAGCCCCGTAAAGTTCAAATTTCCAGTGTAAAAACAAAATTTGAGCAGACGCGCGCAGGTATTCTGAAAAACTGAAAAATTTCGACCAAAAAAAATCAAGTTGTACTTTTGAAAATGTATAAAATTGTTACAAAACAACGGCTTCGAGTGCATACTACTTTGTAGAAGCTAAATATTTGTGTGGCCCGAAAAATGTTCAAAAACCTAATTAGTGGTGCTTCTCATTCAAAACCAAAACATTTTACTATATTAACATATATGTGTGTGTGTGTATATATATATATATATATATAT